CCGCGTGATCTCGCGTGCCGACCCCGCGTGACTTCGCGTGCCGACCCCGCGTGACTTCGCGTGCCGACCCCGCGTGACTTCGCGTGCCGACCCCGCGTGACTTTGCGTGCCGACCAAGTGCGACATTGCACACTGACCCCATGCGACCTCACCTACTGACCCTACACAGTCTCACATGTCGACCTCACGCGAGCTCATCCAGATCTCTGTGTGACCTCCCATGCAGCCTTGCATGCTTACACCTACGTAGGTGCTGGCTGCTGGATTTTTGCCGCTTTTTGTTTGTCGGTCTGTTCTCTGCGTTGTCGCGTTATGATGCTTGCTCATGATAGAATGTAACCGGATAACTCGAGATGACAAAAGTATGATAGGGTGGCTGGTGATCAAACGTAGTCACGACTGATCTTGCTTTTTTGGTCTACTACAATCAAATCATTCCTAATTCCATCGTCCATTCGTCTAATTCAAATCTCTCCCGCCTTCAGGTCTGCTCAACCCGCTCGACTGTCCGCACCACATGCGCGCGAACGAGGAGTCCGACTACAGGGAGGGCGTCGTTGTCTCGCGGCCCGTCAAGCCCGGCCGCGGATCGTTCGTACACGTCGGACTCGTGAAGGTGCGTCCGTCGTTACCACGCGAGACTGTGTCTCATGGTATTAGCCAGGAATGAGTATATTGTGGGAGTGCAGAAAAAATAATTGGGAGTGCAATTTTTGTGTGTGTCTCAGCCAAGACCGCCGTAGCGGTCTTCGTGAACGCTGTAGGCGTTCGCGGGGTGGGGGGGGGGGGAGTATGAGAACCCCCTCTCATTGGGAGGGTACAGGGGGGCCTCCCCCGGAAATTTTTTTAATGTTAAAATTTTTTTGGCCGTGCAGTTTCAAAACTGACCGTGCAAATCACGGCTGCATGGCTCTCTGGCTAATACGTTGCTGTGTCTTTACTCTGGTGTTTCCGGCGTGCGTCCGCGGCGGCTTCATTAGAAACTTGTCTTTCTTATAAAGTGAGCCAAAGTTCGTTGTTGCCAACGGTTACTTGGCGTCGCATCACCATGCGATGCGAGCGTTTTCCTTTTCATTGCGTGTCCGTTGACCCGCCTTAGAAATGCTCAGCGAACAAGCGATCGATTAGTGAATGGTCTCTTGTTTTTTTTTTCTTGCAGGAGGTGCAGGTGGATCGCTTGCTGCAAGCTGGTCTGCGGGTGACCGTGGAGCTCGACAAGACGCAGACGACAGGTGTGACGTCATTACTAGCAGTTGCCGTGGTTACGTCGTGTGGCGTCTTCGAAGCTGTTCTCCATCTTGCTTTCCATGTTCAATCGGATTTCAAATATTTGAAATTGTGAATGATACAAATAGTGAATGATAGAAATAATAAATAATACAAATAGTGAATGATACAAATAGTAAATGATAGGAATAGTAAGCGATATGAACAGCGAATGATTGCAATATTACACGATACAAGAAGCAATCGTTATCGATGCGATCATCGAATCGTATGAACGGCAAATGCTGCAAACACGACGTCGTGAACACGGCACATGGCGTCGCTAAAACGCTCGCCGATTTCTCTCTCTCTCTCCGCAGAGACGAGGGCGAGCAGGGGCCGCGTCGTTTCCCCGGCGACGCCGCGTCTCGTGCGAGGCCTCTACTGGGGCTACGGCGTGCGTCTCGCCTCTGGTCTCGGCACCGCGCTCACGGAGAGCCCCCACGCCGGCGGATACGACCTCGTCGTCGGCACGTCGGACCAGGGCGACCCCGTCGCCGCGGCAACGCTGCCGCGGGGCTTCAGGTGAGCGAGAGCATGAGCAGCAATGTAACATCAGGAGTAACATGTGGGCGCTGGCCCGACCTGTGGCCACCTGATGGCGGTGTTTAGATGTGTGAGATGATGTGATAACGTATGGGTGTGCCATAACCTGCAGCCACATGGTGGTGGTATTTAGATATGTGAGATGATGTGATAACGTGTGGGTGTATTCCAACCCACACGCACATGGTGGTGGTATTTGGATGTGTGAGGCAATGCAGTAACGTGTGGGTGTTTTATAATCTCCAGGCACACGATGGTGGTGCTTGCATGTGCGGTGATAACGTGTGGATATACCCTACCCTGCAGGCACATGATGGTGGTGCTTGCATGTGCGGTGATAACGTGTGGATATACCCTACCCTGCAGGCACATGATGGTGGTGTTTGCATGTGCGGTGATAACGTGTGGATATACCCTACACTGCAGGCACATGATGGTGGTGTTCGGCGGCGTGAAGGGCATCGAGGCAGCGATAGAAGCAGACGACAAACTGCCCGTCTCCGACCCAGAGGACCTCTTCCAGCTGTATCTGAACACGTGTGCGGGCCAGGGCAGCAGGACGATTCGCACGGAGGTGAGGCGTACGATAAGTGTAGTGCAGTGTAGTAAGAGTAGTAAGAGTCGGGTCGGGAGGAAGGTGGGAATACCAGAGAGGAGAGAGGCAGGGTCAGGTGCAGAGAGAAGTTTGGTGACAAGGAGTTGGGCAGGGTGGCAGGGAAGTGGATAAAGTAGGAGGGTAAGGAGGTGCGTGGGCAGGAGGACGAAGGTGGGGTGGAGGTGGGGGGTTGATGGGTGGGTTGATGGAGAGGACAGGGTTGGAAGTTTGTGAGGTTACGGTGAGAAGGGTAGGGTCAGCTGCAGAGAGGAATCGGGTGACAGGGAAGAAGGCAGGTAGTGGGGAGGAAGATGGTGTGATATGGAGGTAGGCAGGGACATGGGGAACAAGGTGGCATGGTGAAGAAGCAAGCCTCGTGGCAGAGAGAAAGGTAGGTGTGGATAAAGTGGCAGGGAGGAAGACGTGGCAGTTGAGGAGATGCTAAAATGAGCGTAAATGCTACCACCGCACACTATCAGAGGTGATGTTACTCTTCCTGGGTGTAGTCACTAGTGGTGCGATATTACCCTGGTCTGATTCTGTACCTATTCGCATTGCAGGAGGCCATCTTGATATCCATGGCGGCACTGCAGCCCAAGGTCACAGCTGCACAGAGCATGGTGACGTGACTGCTACTGCGTTCACACCCGTGATGCGTGTGCCTTATCAGACGGGACCCAAGAGTATTTCCGACTGACCAGAGAGGGTGTAAACTTGATGCGATATTGCATCAGAAAGGGGGAGTGTAGTTTTAAGCATTATCATCCTTGTAAAATTGGGGTATTTGCTTTGTTTGGGTACCCTGATCTGTCAGTTTTATTTTTCAATGTTAATGATGATGATTTATTAAAAACTGAATTTCAATATGATTTAGAGATGCTTGTCATGGGTGAGATCATCGAAGGTTTGTAATAATTGTGTATGTGAGCGTAAGTGACTAAGTGAACACATGACTTAAATTGGCATTGATTATAATTAAGTGGTGCCAGGTCGAAGTTTCGGATTTAGAGTTGTTAGTATATATAGTATCATGACTAGTGGGACGTGTAGAGAAACTGGGCTGCTTTGAGAACTAAGCAGGTGACTCGAGGTGGGGATGGCCAGGTAATTTTCTATTGCATTGTGCGTGTATGTGTATGCCTGCGTGCGTGTGCGTGCGTGCGTGTTGTGTGATAGATTTTTTAGGAACAATAACCAGACCATGTTGTATAATGAGCAAGTGTCTGTGCACAGATACCTTGTTGCTTTTTTGTAATAAATCGTATGTAAAACGTTTTTACATGGTAAAAAATTAGCTAGAGTTTATTTTTGAATTAACTTGTGAATTAACAATATTCTGTGCGTAAATTTTTTTAATTAACTAATTAATATTTACAGCACGCACGCATACGATCGGAAATCAATTGTGCCCGAATCAAATAATGCAGTGAGAGTACACGTAGCAGCATTGCAGTATTTACATTTGGACATTTAAAACTATTCTTCGATTTCTATCGTGATTTCATCCGAGTTGTCGAACGATTCGCTGGCCACGTCGTTTGCTTGGTGATACTGGCTATCATGGGCATGCTTTCCCTGTTGCTGTTGCTGCTGCTGCTGCTGCTGCTGCTGCTGCTGCTGCTGCTGCTGGTCTCGGAATTGTTGCTGACGATGCTGCTGCTGCTGCTGCTGCTGCTTCTGCTGATGATGATGCAGCTGTGGCTGTTGATGGGGTTCTTCGTGTTGTTGTGGATCCTGCCTCCATAAATGTTGCCTCTCGTCCGGCCGACGTTGGTGGTGCTCTTGCTGTTGTTCTTGATTTTGTTCTTTGTATTGTTCATGAATCTGTTGCGGTTGTGGTTGTTGTTTTTGTGGTTGTTGTTGTTGTTGTTGTTGTTCGGTTCCCGCCGCGTCCGTCCTGTACGCTTCAATCAGCAGCTCGTCGTCGGCGTACGTCGCTCGCAGCGTCCGCCGATCGACGCCAGGGGGCAGCGCGAATGATTGCTGACCGGTTATATAGTCGCACAAGTGCACCATGCCGTCGCATTTTTGCTTCGTCGTGATCACGACGATGTTCCCTCGTAGGCTCACGCTCAGCCGACTCACATCGTAGCCTGGTAGCCACAGCTTGGCGGCCATCTTGGATCGCACGCGCGGGTCGTCTGTCTGAGGTTGTTGTTCGCGCCACAGCGTGTTGTGAACGGGCGAGTTTCGCATGGCGCCAAGTTGTTCTCTCCGTGGCTCCACTGCTGAGGCGTGACGCTTCAGCTGTTCCTGCTGCTGTTGGTGTTTTTGTTGCTGTTGTTGTTGCTGTGTGTGTTGCTGCTTGTGTTGTCGTTGGTGTTGCTGCTGTTGATGTTTTTCATGTTGCTTCGATTGCGGCTGTTGTTGCTGCTGACGCTGACGACACTGCGTGGATTCGCGCAGCAGCTGCTGCTGCAGCTTCCGCCGCTGCTCGGCCACGCGCATGCGCTCTACGTCGCTGTCGTGCCGACTTACTTCCGCGTAGTGCCGACGCAGCACTTCCTCGTAATCTGCGGTGCCGTCCTCCTCTCCGCGTGCCTCCTCCTCGTCTTTCCTCGCCGCGCCGCGTCCCCTCTCCCGCTCCGTCTGCTGTGCTATGAGCGTCATCTCCTCCTGCGCCTCCCGCACCATCCTCTCCGCCTTCTCCAACTTCTCCCCCGCCGCTCGCAGCCGGCTCGTGACGTCATCGGTAGCGTCCGGCGCATGCGCGTCGCCGCCGCGACAGTCGTCTGCGTCCGACGGCCAGTTGAACACGTGATCGAAGTCGACGGCGAGCGGGAAGGAGGGCGGCCATGATGACTTTAGCAGCCGAAATCCGGCCATGTTTTGGTTGATGACGTCAGCAAGTTCGTTCGTCCTGCAGCTGAAAGAGAGAACGGGGCGAGTCGTGATAAGCAATGATGATAAGCATCGGTGATCGATGCATTATGATTGGTTCGATTAGATATTGTTCCGATATCGATCAGATATATAAATGATCCTTCGCAGAAATGAGCGCGCTTCTTTGTTCGATCGCGTTTTTTGTGTTATAAACGTCGTCGATGACTGACGTAATTAATATAAGCATATATTATTATGTCGTATCCTAAATACACGCGCACGCACGCACGCACGCACACACACCCACACGCGCGCGCGCGCGCGTGTATATATATATATATATATATATATATATATATATATATATATATATATATAAACACAACCAAGGGCACATAGAGTTAATGTGCTCTTGATATAATGTTGAACAATAACATCATGGATATCCCATAAACGTGTGTATGTATGATACTACGATATATATATATATATATATAATATGTATCTACGAATTGAAGCTTACCCGTGTCCTCTGCTGCAGGCGCCGTCAGCGCCTCTGGCGACGGCCAACAGCGTTATTACTGCCGTAAGCATGGTTAGCGGACAACTCTCCCTCGTCGGTGTTGCCATGCCGATGTCCGAGTCGCACACACGCGCGTAATATTAGCAATGATACTTATACACCGATAAACATACAGTTGGAAGCTTTACCGCCGAGATGTAATGTCGAAAACTAAAAACAAAACTCGAAGCCGAAATTTATATATGACCAACGAACGAATCGGAAAATTTCCAACGCTTCAAACAACTACAATATATACGTCTATATTCTATCGTGTACAATATCTATATGTGAAATGCGCACGGTGGAAGCTCACACGTGCCTTTATATACGGACAGCGAGTGTAAATACTGCGTAAGTACACGTCAGCGTTAGTCAGTATAAGCCCAACGTGTCCCTCGCTGAGCCTGACGAGTCAGTGCGCAGCTACGTCATCGCGTGACCGACATCTGCAGCGTGATTGCGTCAGCCGTTAGGTCGTTAGCTGCGTCGACTATAATATTGCCAGGAGTGTCACTGATGATAATATAGACTTATATTACACAGACTTATAACCAAAGATATATACAAACACAGTGTTTGTGTATATCTATGTTGTAACATAGACTTGGACATAGACTTATAACATAGTTTATATTATTACACTCCTGATATAGTCAATATATATACTTGTATAGGTGCCAAATATAGTTGGGTACGATTACTATATAGCGTATAGTTTGTCTGAAAGTTCTGTTATGTGAGTGAATTGAAAGTATAGTAGGCCCCTACGTGTCTATAGAGTCGTCTCGTGCTCAGTCAGCCGGTAAAGCCACGTGTGAGTGGGAGCATGTGGCCGTGCTTACCTGGAGCTCATCGAGGATAAACAGGGTGAAATAACACGCAATATCTATGTTATTTACTTATTATTGTTTATTTCTGTCGATGTTTGTGCAGTGACAGACTGATCGACCGAGTGACTGTGGGACACGGCAATGTAAATAAACATCTCATTATCATCTATTTCGTCGCACTGCGCGGAGGGTTGTCGCATGCACGAAGGCGATACGGGAATATACCATACAGAACAAGAATCCTACCGGATTCGATGTCTTGCTCGGGGTTACCTGGTGTTACCTGGTGTTACCTTGTTAGTGGGTGTTACCTGGTGTTACCTTGTTAGTGGGTGTTACCTGGTGTTACCTTGTTAGTGGGTGTTACCTGGTGTTACCTTGTTAGTGGGTGTTACCTGGTGTTAATCTAACCATGCATTTTGCCGGGAGAGGATAAGCTATGTTGCGATTTTCGTTCTTGGTAATTAATCGTGGGAAGTTTACCGTTCCGCTGCCAATGCCAGTGTGCAACGTCCCCCACCCCGCCGCCCACGCACGCGCCCCGATCCCGCCCATAGTCCATCACAGATAGCTATACGTCCCTGCTAACACTAGGCGCACTAGCGATCGCCGTGGGTTGTGCTCACACGTATACGCGCATTTCTCTGTGACACGCAGACATTGCGTGCGCTCTGAGATATTATGGCATCAATAATGTATGATTAGCGGATTGATTACTGCATTAGTGTGTCTGTATTGAAGCATGGGTTTAATCGATAGATGTGCGCACGCGTGAAACAATAAGATAGTTGTGTTCGCGCCCGTCGGTTGACCTCTGTTATTCAAATGACACTCGACACGATAAGATTTTTGCTTTTCGAACACTTTGCATTTTT